AGCCAGGAAGTTCTAAGGTATCATGAAGTTTGGGGTTTTATTTTAAATTAGTTTAGGGAAGCTTTAGGGAAAAGCACCAGTAAACACAATAATACATGTTTTGGATTTTTTTAAAGCTTTAAAAATAGACTTTCACACTTCTTTTGGCCTGTAACCTATCATCAAAAATGTATTTTACATTACCACCTGGTATGCAAACACCACACAAACAACTGAGGCCAAGAGTTCCATGAAATAGTATTTATCTTTTCTGTAGGCAATGTACATTTCCTTTTTCTCTTCTATTTCATTTTTTAAATGGAAGTTTCAACCTAAAAAATTGATTTCAAAAGCTTCCAAGGGGCCCTGACTTGCAGTTTGAAAAAGGGATTGAGAAATATTGCCTCTCTTTTAATACCATTAAGCAAATGATTTTAAAGCATGTTCGACCAGTGCAATACTATGAGGAGGTGAAAATAAACAAGACATCCACATGGAGGAAGCTGCTAACTTGGCGGCCTTTACCGTCTAGTCTAGTGGGATTAATGTAACATTGTGATCTTAGGAGAAAAGATTAAAGGAGCAAGCAACATAATAAAAATGTGGTTTTTTATGAAAAGCTTTTTGTAAACATTTGGTACATGAGAGAGAAAAGCTGGATGTCCTGTTTAAATTGTCATGAAATTATTACTTTCTTGATAGTGGAGATCACTAAGAACACAGATTTGTGACTGTATAGATCCTTATTGCTTTACTAAATATTTGACGACTTTTGACAAGACAAAAGAAAACAAAAACAGTAACATAGGTTGTAAACTTTTAAGTCAGTCTACTTTGTTTCTTTCTTTTCTTCTCCACTTCCTCCCATCTTTCCCCCCCATCACAGAATAATCTGGCTTGAACTATTCCACTTCTTTTTTATTGAGTAAAACACACGGAAAGTAAAATTTTCCATTTGGGCCATTTTAGAGTGTAAAACTCAATGGCATTTAGTATGTTCTCAATGTTGTGCAATCATCACCACTATCTAGTTCCAGAACTTTTTATCACCCCAAAAAGAAACCTATACCCATAAAGCAGTCACTCCCCATTCCCCTTCCACCCAGCTCCTGTCAACCTCCAATCTGCTTTCTGAATTTGCCTACTCTGGATATTTCATGTAAATGAAATCACACAATATGTGCGTTTTGTATTTGGTTCCCTTCACTTAGCATACTATTTTCAAGGTTCATTCATGTTGTAGCATGTATCAGTACTTTATCCCTTTTTATGGCTGAATAATATTCCATTGTATGGATATGCCACATCTTGTTTATCCATTCTTCCGTAGATGGAGAACTATTTCAAGAGGAATTTTATTCACAAAATAATTTGAAACTAAACGACTGGGCATAGCTTTATAGCTTTGATTATGTATATATTATAAGTAGAGCCTAAAGACTATTGAAGGAATCTGGGGTCTCTGTGGAAGCCCAAGTAGGAGAAGTCCTATATATTCAGAGCTCATGAGATTGTGCTGAGCCTCACCTATAAAGTCAGGATTTATCTGCATAAATATGATAAATGAAACCATGGGGGTGGATCAAATTGCCCCCAGGAAAGGGTATAAAAGAGCTAGGACAAAGCCCTGAAGAACCCCAACATTTAGGGGAGCAGTGGAGGAAGAAGAGCCTCTGGTTTCCTTCCTAGAGATGATGATAATAAACTTAGGCAGTCTCTCAGGCTCACCACGTGAGGTGAAAACACCACTTACTTTTTCACAAGGTTTGTAAGAAATTTAATGAGACAACATAAGCAACTGGTGCCCATTCCATAGGTAGGCCTTCAGTAATGGTAGCTAAGTTGTATTACCAAGGTAAAACTTCTTCTTCTATGTATTTTTGGCACTATCACTATCATCAATTTATACATTGGTTGCTTTATTTATCTTGTAACATTTATTTATCTAGCTTGAAATAAGCTTTCCAACCTTTAAAAATCCATCTATGTTTAATTTTTTGTTGTTGTTATTCCCAAGCTAGACAAGCTTCTCCCATAACACCAAAGGAAGCAAAAGGAAGCCTAATTAGGTGGAGAGGTTAGAGGCACAGGCCCCACTCTCGGTGCAGCCGATCCAAGACTGCAGTTCTGGATCCACATAGGAAAGTGTTCTCAATTCTACAACTTGAGAGAGAACCATTCTAGCCCTTGATTATCAAGACAGTAAAATTCTTTCCCTTTAGATCTCTTTGTTTTGATGGGGAAAAGTCATTTCATTTTTCAAAACATATCAAATTTTTCAAAACAAATTTTTTTTCAAAAACAATGAATTTTTGGCCTCCCATTTTTGGTAAAAAAAAAAAAAATAGTTAACAAAAAATTTATGTTCCACCCCAGAAACAATTATACTATAGAATTTGATTTTAAAGTCTTCATGGAGTTGTAGAGTTAGAAGTGGAAAATCATTAGATATAGTATTTTTTAATCTTATCAGATTATCATAGTGTCTTAAATTTGTTATTTCTATAAGATCCTTGACTATCATTGCTCTCTTTTGAAAAGTATCTTTCAAAATTTTCTTATAAATTCTCAAAAGGCAAGACCACACCTCTTTAATCGCTTTTAATGCAGTTGGTGTGATTGTTTCTGCTTGGATCTTCTCAAAGATCTGTTACTATGTGAATAACTTACATTTCATAACTTTGCTTTAATCTTTCAGAATTTTCTTCATACTCTTCTTAAGCTTCTCAAATCTTTCCACTTTTCATGGGTAAGATGTTTTTAATGTTTTTTTCTAATTCAACAATTTGATTAGTGTTATTTTTTTCCCCTGGAGTTTTACATCTTCGGTGTATTCCTATTTATATTCCATGTATGAGTATATTCCGTGTCTTAGAAACATGACTTTCAGTGAAACTAAAGCTACAGACTAACATAGCATTTTGTGAAGATGTGTAAATTCTTTCCTCTCTTGTTATTGGCTGATGCGTGATAGGCTGGGAGATTGAAACATAAAGAGAATGTAACTTGTATTAAACTAGAATTAGAGATGATGCTAGGAATGGACTGTATGTTTCCTGAACCCTGATCCAGTTCCCTTTTCAATGGAAAATGGACAATCTGTGACGTTCATAAGCTAGGTCATATTGGCTATTGTCCAAATTTGGTGGTCAAAAACAGGACAGGTCTATGGAAAACTACTATTGCCTGTTTTGTTACCAATTTAATACAAAGTGTACTGGAATTTGTGTGTATTTTCTGATCTTTTTTGGTAAGGTATGCTATTTCATCTCATAAGCTGAGTGACAGGAAATAAAGCACTTGAAAGCATAAGATTAGGCTTATAGAAACCAGTAGTGATTGGTGAATGTGGCATTCATTGTGAACTCAAAGCTAAATTAGAAGCATAGAGAAGCCAGTTTGGAGACTTGAAACCCAAGGAAAATTACAGGAAGAAAATGATCATTATATAACTATGATATTTTGTCCCTATAAGGGAATAAGGCAATTAGAGGTGAAAAGGAAGAAAGGTTTTAACAACAACAAAAAAAGAAAATGAAAGGGGAGAAAGTGTTTCTGAATATTATAGGTGGGTAGTTTTAAATGTCAAGTTTTCCTATAAACTCATCATGTGGAGAGTAATGGAGAATAGTTTTATGCAGGAGGAGATTTTTTTAAAAAAACAAACATTGACATTTTAAAGACCTAAATGTCTTAAATGGAATGACTATTAAAATGCAAAATTAGACTGAGCAGAGAGAACTTGAAGATTATATTTGAGTAGTATCCTGAGAGGCAGATAATGAATGACTCAGATAATCTGAGCGGTTCAGGCTGACTCACATGTTTTGGAAGAACGTGTCATCAGCTCCTGATTCTGTCAGTGTTTTTCCTTTTGTTCCACCTGGTAATGCCAAACAAACCCTGGAATACCAGTGACTTTCCCAGCTCCGATTTCTCAAGAAGACTTTCCAATCCACGAGTAACAAGTGTGAGATTTTGAATATACAGAGATTTAGCATATTTGAATAATACTAACATAAGAAACACAAGCCACTTCTGTAACTTTGGAACATGTAAGAGCTGGGAGCCCAAACAGAGCCTTGGCAGGATAAGAATGGAAGAAACAAGACCAGGCTTGGTTTGTCAGGATGGAAGAAAGGGGTCTTCTTACCCCAATGCTGCTGGAATAGCACGTCCTGCAAGATATTTTAAATCAACAAATATTATCTCATATCTCTGGTAGATTAAGGTACTTAAAAATGAGGGAGCCTTGGCTGTGTTCTAGAAAGGCTCACAGACTATCAGGGAAACTGACATAGGAACTAATAATTGGTACCATTTCATATATTATGATATTTATAAAAGTAACGCTTTGAGAGGAGCACAGAATCGTCATTGTCTTACACCCTAGGATTGAGAGGCCTTCACAGAGGAGGTGACATTGGCCTGGGTGTTAGAAGATGAACTGAAATTCTAAAAGTCAACAACATAGGGAAAGCATTCCGACCAGAGGTAAGGACCAAAGAGATACTGGAGCACAAATGTTGAAGTATGTTCAGAGAATGTTTAATAATCCAGTCCAGCCACAGATTAGAAAAAGTAGTAAAAGAAGAGATGGAAATGCAGAACACAAAGACGTGTCAGGTCAGTGTAGTTCTCTTGGTATGCTTCACATGATCTGTGTCTTGGCATTATCCCAGCCTCGAGAGTATGTCTAACCTAGAAATGGCTATTCTTCTAAATCTGTGATTTGGCTTCTTGGCAGAGCCCCAGTTTGGGTGATGAATAACAGTAGTCTAAGAAAAGCTTGCAATCTCTTCTGTACTCATACATCTTTGTGTTGCTTGAACTTACAGTGCCAAGTCCTTGATAAATATCTATTGGCAAATACAACAATGAATCATATGCACATGTATACACACATACATACACATACAGTCAAAGAAACTTCCATTGCTTTTTGAATACTCAGGTTTAACTGAATGTTCACTTGTATGTTGTTGATAGATTTCTTTGACCCCTTTGCTGTTTTCCCACAGGATTGAAAAAACGTACAAGGAAGGCCTTTGGAATACGGAAGAAAGAAAAGGACACTGATTCTACGTATGTACTTTAAGAGTTTGCCTCTCCAAAGAAGATATTTGCACAAGAGATGCTGTTGTCACTGTCACTTTAAGATTGCCACACATTTTTCTTGAATATCATGTACTCTTCTGTTGTTCTCCCCATTTCTGGGTAAATTGTAGCTGTTCAGTATAAACAGTTCTTAGATTTATGCTAAAAAGGTGAAAATTTTTCATCATGTGTTCAGTTTTTCATTGTGTGTTTTTTTAACAACCTGATAACCACATTTCCCAACAGTCCCAGGAGGCAGAAAGCATGACTTATTTTTGTGGGAGACTAAAAGCCTTCATTTCTACATCTAGGGTTGCCCCTAGTATTTGAACTGAAGAATCAAAAGAAACACCTGTTTAGGTAGATTAGACCTAGCCAGAAACAGAAATGTAAACTGGAGAACATCCCAAAGCCCTTACTTGAGATGCCAAGATTTTGTACAAGCAGAATTGTAAATCAACCAACAGAATTCACAGGAAGAATAGAATATTTGGCTGTGAATAAGAAACCAATGCCAGAAACAACTGTGGGTTGCTTTTACATGTTTAAATAATCCTATCCAAGAGAATTATCCAGGCCCACAGACACGGATAGACCCTTGAAAATGTCCAATGACTCAACAGTTTCGTTTCACTCACTTCACTTATTTGACCATCTTGAATTCTCCATCAGAAATATTTGACGCTGACATAAAATCTCAGGTGCCATTTTTAGCCAAGCAGGTGGTTTAAATACATGGAGTCCACTGGCTGTGAACTCGGGACTCCAGCCCAAGACCAGTGTAAGGAGAGCACAACTACTCAGCTGCAGCTGCTTATGCCCAAGTGTCAATCCGGATCTGGTATGGTCTGCTGTATATCAGAATTGAACCCATTCTATCCCTCATTTGACTAGAATCTCTGAAAGAAAGTATGAAAATGGGAAAATCAATAATTGGGCACAGGTAAAAATGAAGAAGGCCACATTTATTCTCACCTTTAGCTTTTCATTCTGTACATTTTTTTCATGCATAAATTTTTATCACAAGGTGCTGAGCATTTCTCTGTGTCTTTGTCCTCTAAGAATTTATAAGTCATGGGATAAAATATCTGCTACACAAATTAAAATATTTTTATACACCTAAATGAGGTAACATATTCAAAATGCCTAGTATGGTGCCCAGTGCTTAGTAAGTGCTCAGGACATGGCAGCTGCTGCTACTCTTATTACTACTGATACAAATTAATATGTGGTAAATTCCATTTGTGCCATTAATGTGGAATTTTATGGGAATTTGAGGGTGAAAAGGCTCATATTTGGACTGTTGATCAGTGATGCTTCAGGGAGAGAGGAGCCTTGAGTTTGGCCTTCAAGAAGATGAGGGCATGTATTTCATCCAAAGGGAACAACAAAAGCAAAAGTAGAGAAGTGAAAAGAACAGTAGGCATTTACTGACAATCTTGGGGCCATGTGTTCACCTGTGGGCTACAGGTCAAGGTGATAATGGAAAACAAGGCTAGGAAGGAGATCAGGGCCACATAGGAAAATAAATATCTAGGCTACTTTCTTAGGCAGTGGGCACCATGAAACCTGGAAGGGTTTTAAGCCAAAGAGTGTAAAGGTTTGGGAGAACAAAGTTATTTTTTGTCTACATGCCACATGTTAAGTCTCCTATTCTTCTATTTTTTCTTTGTGCTTTTTCTTTTGGTAAATAGTTATTTCATGGAAATTACATTTACTGTAGCCCTGCAAATTTTTCTAAATGATTGAGTAAAGAATATTTTTCTAAGAATTATATAATTTACATTGTTTCTTAAGAAATGTGCCATTTTCTGAACATTAACCACCCAGAATAGGTGATGGTCCCTTCACTAGGGTCAGAAGACCTGGGCTGTAGTCCCAGCACTGCCAAGAGCTCCTTGGCTCTGGGAATCACTCTCTCCTTTTTTGGGCCTCAGTTTCCACACCTATACATATAAAAGATGGAATCTAATTTCCCTAAAGGGCCAGACACTATACCAGTCAGTCTGTCAGCAACATCTGCTGACCCCTACAACGTGCCACGTGTTGTGTGGGACACGATTAGATGCATCTCAGGAGAGTGTCATCAGCAGAAACCAAATTCTTTTTTCCCTGAAGACAGAATCTACCTGCAGCAGAGATTTCTGATGTGTAAAGAAAGTTTGAAAGAAAAAAAAAAAGATCTCTTGAACAGAGAAAAGAAGTTAAACAACCTCTCCAGGGCAGGGTAAGCTAATTTACATATGGCGCTGCTTTTCCATCACCATTTCTAAAGTTACAAAAATAAGCAAGTTATTCCTCATGGCTTTGAGTAGATGCTCAATCTTTCTCCGAGGTACTCTAAAGAGACATTTGTTTATAGACTCCCAACCATCTTTCCTTAACTTCTTATCATTTGAGTGCTCCAGATTACTCATGGGATGCCAAGTTAGCTGTTAAGTGGATTCTACCATCCGTGCTGGTCAAAGGACAAGCTGTTTAGTATGTTTAGTATAAGCCTTTGCTTTTCATGAACACCCACTCTCTAATTGGATCACATATCGTTCTTGGAAAAGGAATCATAAGCTCAAAGGGGTTGGGAAGATGTTCTGGCAATTTGCTGTCCCTTCAGCTTCACTTAATGCTTATGTTAGTCTGCGATCATTGAAACCTTATTGGTGCAAACTGATTTCAGGGCTGCTGCAACTCACTCAGGGTTGCTAAGCAATCTGCTGGGGTAGACGCCAGCACCAACTTCAGCTGATTGAACATCCCTAGATAGAGAGTGGGGTGAGGACCAGAGCTTCCTGATTTGATCCTCATTACAGAGGCTGATAGGAAGAGGAAGGAAGAGAGCCTGTATGAAGTGGCAGGCCCTGTGCGGCATATTTTGTTGCACTGATATCCTTTTTAGTCCTCCCAGCAATTCAATAAGGTTAGTAGTAATATCTCAATTTTAGAGATGAGACATCAGTGCCCAAAGGGGTTAAGTAACTTGCTGAAGGCTGCCCAGAAAATAAGACTTAGAGCCAGTATTCCAGTCTAGAATCCAGTGCCCATGCTCTTATCACCTACAGGAGAAAAACATCAAAGGGCAGAATTATAATTCAAATAGGAGGGTAAAGATAAAAGCAATAGTTGCAAAAGATAACTGAAACTTTTTGAAATAGAGGCCAAAAAAACAAAAAAAATCTTTTAAAAATAAAATACAACCTCTTCAGTAGAAGAGGTTAGAAAATGAATTTAAAACATATGCCCAAGTGTCTGAGACTGCCAAAATTTCTCCATTCTCTCTCCTAGGTCAGATTATATAATAATTATTATTCTAGATAACCTTTTTTGAGTATTCACTATGTTCTAGACACTGTTTCAGGCTCTTCATTTATTTTAGCTCCTTGAATCCTCTAATATCCCTATGGGGTTTATACATTATCATGGCTATTTTACAGATGAGGAAACTGAGACACAAAGGGGTGAAGGAACTCACCCCGGCTTCCACAGCTGGGAGACCTACGTCAGTTACCCCTGTAGTCTGGCACTACAGCCAGTGCTCTTACCTGCCATGCTTGCTCCCTCATTTCCATCAATGGATAAGACAAAGGGTGGGAATAGGACTCCCATGTTACTATGTACAATTACAGTTTTTCTAATTTTGAAATACCATCCTGATAGCTGCAACAAGCATGAAGTCAAGCAGCCTCCCATTCAAGACCTGCTATGATGTACCCTTGTACCTCGACCAACAATGGGCAATACCACAGCCAGGCCAATTTCCAGAGCCTTCTGTTTGCCATATCTATTTCTTGCTGTCCCTAAAGGCTTTCCCACAAGGTTCAGTGCCTCCAAACATATTCTACCAAGAAGTTGATACCCAACTCCTTTAACGGGGGCTGAAATCCTAGTAAGAAATGTTGTGCAGTATATACACATGGGAAGGAGATTTGGCTTTGATGAGGACGGGGTGGTACCTGTCCTCTGGGCTCTCCTACAAGCCTGGGCTTACTATAGCCGTGATTACCCACTGGATTTACTTGCCTGTCTCATTCTCTCTGTGATGAGCATGTCTTGTTTGGGTTTTTTTGTTTTGTTTTGTTTTTTATTTTTTCATGTTGTTTTTTTTTTTTTTTTGAGACAGAGTCTTGCTCTGTCACCCCAGGTAGAGTGCAGTGGTGTCATCATAGCTCACTGCAACCTCAAACTCCTGGGCTCAAGTCATACTTCTATCTCAGCCACCTGAGTAGCTGGGACTACAGGCGTGCGCCACCAAGTCCGGCTAATTTTTTCTATTTTTAGTAGTGATGGGGTCTTGCTCTTGCTCAGGCTGGTCTTGAACTTCTGAGCTCAAGCGATCCTCCCACCTCGGCCTCCCAGAATGCTGGGGTTACAGGTGTGAGCCATCGCGCCCAGCCCTTTGTTATTTTTATCCCCTGGTCCTAGCCAAGGACCTAGCTCATTATAAGCACTCAGTATTTGTTCAGCAAATTATAACTTTTGTTAGCTGAGATTCTTCCTACCCTATTTCAAATGAAATTTCTTTGAACTGGTTAATTTCCATGTCCAGGGAATGCCCAGAGGTCCCAATATTTATGTCAACTCCCCTGGTGTTTCAATGTCAGGGTCCTCTCTGCTTCTCACCCCTGTATCACCACATCTGCGTGGACACAGAACTCACTAGTTATGAAAAATGATGCATTCTATCAAGTGTATTGTAATCCAAGTAGAATATTCTGATAATTTTGGGGGGGCACTGGTGAGGAAGGGGAATCACATCTCAGAATCCAGATGGCCTCCCACCAACTCTCTGCATTTCTCTCTCCCCTCCTCCTCTCTTTCTCCTCTCATTGGCCCCACCCTATGAAGCAATACGATTTCCTTGCCTGGTCCCACCTCTCAAAGAACAGCTCCAACTCCACCAAACTCCTCAAGACCTCACAGTACACCTCAAGCGCTTATTAAGGTTTTCTTCCAAACAGCGCAGGTCTTTTTCCAAGCATAATTCTAGTCCCCTTGTTAATATGACATTTTGTGGCTCCTTACAGAGTGAATTAAATACAAAGTTGTAAAGGTACAGTGGCTACTCTCTCGTTTCCCTTGTCTGTGCTCCTCTGGTCCAGCTTCCTGCTCCTACGTTGCTCTAAAGTCCAGTGTGGCTGCAAGTGAGCAGTTGTATATTCCTAGTGAAGGGATATCTTGAAAGAGAAAAGAAATTATAATCAACTAATACTTTTGAATACTTAGTAAATGTTAGTATCTATCTTATTTAACCTGACTTAGGTTAAGTAACATATTCAAGGTCACAGAACTATTAAGCGGTGACATTTGGACACTCAGATTCATCTCACTCTGAAGCCCTAGCTCCTGAGCACCAGAACATAGTGGCCCCATGGACTAGCTACCCTGGGCTTTGGTCATCAGACCGGGCCATTTAGCAAAATATTGCCCTCCATTTCCTGCTCTCCTGTAACTGAAGGAGAGGTAAATACAGAAATGTGGGGAGAAATACAGATTCTCAAAATAAAGTTGAAAAATACCGCAGATGTTTTATCTTACAGGATGCAATTCAGGACCACTCACAGGGGAAAAGATAAGAGGGCCAGGCATGGTGGCATGCACCTGTAGTCCCAGCCACTCAGGAGGCTGAGGCGGGAGGATCACAGTGAGGCCGGGAGTTGAAGGCTGTAGCGCACAATGACTATGTCTGTAATAGCCACTGCCCTCCAGCCTGGGCAACATAGGGAGACTTTGTCTCTGAAAAAAAATAATAAATTTTTTAAGAAAGAAAAGAGGGAGCAAGTTGGTTTACATTCCTTGTGACAGTGGTATATGGGGCCTGTAGACTGGGACGGACTCTCTAATGAACTCTCCTCTCAAAAGCAGACCAAGGCACCACCAACCTGTGCCTTTTGGACTTTAGCTTTTAATGAGACTATCCTTCCCCTACACACGTATACATACCACACATTTAAATGTCACTCAAGCAATTTGTTTTGATTTAGTTTTCATTAGCCATGTTTACTGGGGTGGGAATTCGCGGGAAGCGAGGGTGGTGGTTAATTATTTTTGTACTTTTTAGTCTATGTAGCAAGAATGATTCATCTTCATAATAGCTACCAATTTCTTTTTGTTACAGAGGTTCACCAGATAGAGATGGAATTGTAAGTATTTAAATGACCATTTTTAGTGAGTTTACACTCAATATATGCCATGTCTAAATTTCTTATAGCCCTGTTTTTTTTGTTTTGGTTTTTTTTTTCCTGCAGGGAAAAAAATAGCTTGAATGACTTTTTTCAGACCTCTCACTGTTGTAATTTTCTATAGTAATTGCATGGGACATAAATGTAGTCTTGGTCAAGTTAGACTTATTTATTGCATTCACCTAAGACCCTGCCCCAGCGTAGGCAAGCAAACTAGCCGTCAAGGTGGTGGGTCAGGAGCCAGACAGTTCATACAGAGGCCGCTACCATCAACTGTTATTTCATTTCCAATTGAATGATGTAGAAGCTCATTATGTGAGAATGTTTTTTTTGCCAACAGAGGCCACAAAGTCATAATGGAGCTGAGATCCAATGAAATTGAAAGAAACTTTTCCCCTGTAGTAGTTGTGCTGCAGATACATTTTCTATATTAAATTCAAAACTAGGGAATGGTCTTAAAACCACTTAAGGCTGAATTTACAGTCTGGAGGAGGAAAATGTGTCCACTGGGTTTAGAATTAACCGTAACTCTGAGTCCTTGCTGGCCACCAGAATTCTTGCTTTTTAAAGAAGTCTGTGGTGCACAGGCTTAGATTTATGTGAGCTGCACTTCTGGGAGTCTGCATCAACTTCTGAAATGACTTCCTTCAAATCTAAATCAGATTCCTATTCAGAAGGTTCAAAAAGAACAGCTGTTACTGGGAAAAAAAAAATGGACTCATATTAGGCTCTTTGGGCTGGAGTGGGAACTAAAATAAACCTGGTGGTTAAAAATAGTTTTTAAATCACCCTTTATAATATTATACCTAAATTGGTGTGTTAATTGCAGCAATAGCAAGAGTTTTTCTCCCACACTTGACTCAAGGTTTTTAGTTTTGGGGTGCTTTTTGCGTTCATGTGGTTCTCACCGTGAAATGTTAAGAAAATAGACTGAAATTGATCAGACATTGGGTAACACTATAATCAAGGCTCTATTCAGCAGGGGAAAAAAAAGACCCAGAAGACTCAGCTTCTCCTCACCTCTTGCTTCTGGCTCAGAGCCCTCTCGTTAACTCTGTCTCAGGTACTCTCCGCTTCCGTGTCTTTTCTTTGCTTCTGGCTTGGTCCCCTCCCTGGGTCCTCTCGTCCCCTCCATTCTGAACTTTGCCAGGCTCTGTTAGCTACTCTGCTTTCTATCCTTGCCGCTCCCAAACTGGCTTGCTATTTCTTGCTTCTCTCCCTCTGCCACTCTCAGTCTTGCCCTTTTTTTTTTTTTTCTCCAAACCTCCACTCATTGTCTCTGAGGTCCCATTGCTACCTCCTCACGGTTTTCCGCCCTTCTGGGCAGCACCAGAAATTGCTGGTAGAACGTGCACCCAGGTACCTGGTGCAGCAGCTGGCATCTAGCAGGCGACTATGAGTATGTGCTGCATTAATGAACCCAGCAGTCATCTTGAGGATTCATCCACCCCAGGTCAGGGCTGCATGCCCACATTCCCCAAGTCCTCCTTTATTTCCACCATTCCAAGTCACATAAAGTTATTTATTAGCAGTTAATTAGAAATGCCATAAATATCACTGATCATGATTTTTAGGAAAGAGGAATTATTTAATTGCAATTTCTCAGGAAATAACGGACCTGTTCCAGAAAAGGCTACATTCAAAATAAATGCATTTTCTCAGGAACAAGGTGTACAGCTTCACAGGTAATTGGAAATTATTAGCCAGCAGCTAGTGAAAATACATGGTTTCATTAATGTGGTTCCACACACTACAGGTGGTGGTTTACCTACCCGATGCTTATAAACTTCTTGGTAAACACAGGGGCTACACAAAAGCTTTAATGTACTGGTGCTTATTTCATTTCAGTTTCTCAAAATCCAGCAAAGCCCATCCCTGGTAACAATGCTTTTGGGGTTTAGTCTCTGGAGGCTTCGTGGCAGGGCTGCATGTGAAGGTGGGCTTGCCTTGCTCCCCACTGCCTTGAATGTCCCCATCCCTGGCAGAACCATCTCTCATGGTGTCCGAGACCTCAGGTAGCTGTGTGTGACAATGCGTTCTAACCCAGACACAAACTCTAATTTGTGCAGGGTACACTAACTTTTTCCTAAGCAGTTCTAGTTTCCCTCCACACATTGACCAGGGCATCAGAGTCCTAGTCCTTGCTGTGAAGAGACCTTTTCAGCTTATCCTGAACAGGTGTGCAGGGAAGGGCACAGATTTGGAGCTGTCAGCTGTGTGTGCTGTATGTAGTGGTGACACCCAGAAAGACTTTGATGCAGGGGAAAATACGGTGGAGCTAAACTTTGCATACTTAGATTAGGAATACAACCGTTTTAATTCAGTCTCTTCTTGTGTGTCCTTGTGTCTGTTCTCTACTTGTAAATTAAGTGCTGACTGAATGAGGAGTAGATCCACATAGTCCCCAGTACCTGGGATGTACCGACCTCCTTCTCCCTTTTTTTCCTGGGCTAGCCAAGCTGGCCTGCTGAATAGAGCCTCATTATGGGCCCCAAAGTCCACTCTTGCTCAAGGAGCCCTGCCACAATTGGTAGGCCGTACAATTTGGCCTAGAAACGGTTTCTTCTATCGTATGTTTGCTGACTCCATGTGATTCTTTATATGTGTCTTGAAGAACAAACAGATCCTTTAACAACTTTTTTCTACATGAACACAATCAATTCCAGCATCCCAGCCCACATGAGCCACCCTACAATAGCAAAGCAGAGTGTGCGCGTGAAGGAGGAAAAAAAGTTTCGGTAAGGAAACAGATTTTAGTTTAAAATTTCCAAGGGGTTGTAGAAACAGTGAGTAAAATCCTGATTTAAAATCTGGAAAACATAGTACCTTTTATGTACTCCATTTATGGAGACGCTTAGGTGTTTCCAAATTACTTCCTGAGTACCTGGGGCCAATTTTTAGATCAACCATGTAGATTTTATGTATTGATGTCCAAACATACTTTTAAAGAGTGAGCAGGCATAAAACACTTGTCTTAGACAAAAGACGAGGATTCAGATTTTAAAAAGAATATGCTATTGATAAAGAAGGCTCTGGCTATAATATAAACAACACCATGCAAACCGAGTAGTCATTTATTAGGATGAGCACTGTCTCAATAATACTGGGACTTTGGCAGGAACTTGGTCTGTGGGAACCAGTGTACTCGACCAAGGATGTCAGGTCAGAGATGCCGATCCAGCTCAGACTATGCAGTAACTATGGCTGTGTTGTTCAACATGGTACCACTAGTGGCTATTTAGTTAAAATTCAGTACCTCAGTCACACTTGCCACATTTCAAGCTCTACCATACTGGACAGCACACAGATAGAACATCGCCATCGTCACAGACAATTCCATTGCACGGTGCTCTTCTTCTCTAGGATTATTTACAAAATGAGTCAGGTCTACCTCAGTGGAGAAAAACACTTAGGCACCACATCACGTATCCTTAACACGTCTCACCCAAGGATCACTACATGGCTGTGAACTGACCTGGGAAAACAGGAGCATTCATAATGGAAATTGAGAATTTTGATGAATGTATAATTGAACATAATTGTTACTACATTTATTTATTTAGCCCAACATGTTATCAAAGAACAGATAAGCCTAACAGAAATAAAATACCTATTAAGACAAGATTAACATCACTGTGAGGATCAATTTTCTTTAAATAGCAATCATATTCAATTTATAAAAGTTACTTATGTTAAGTGTAGAATTTTAGAAAATACAGAAAAGGAAGAAGTAAAAGAATATATATTACTCCAATTCCAAAAGAAAAATCACTGTTTATATGTTGGTGAATGACTTATATTGCTTTCACTATCAAGCCTAGTTTTTAAGTGATGTTTTCCTACTTACATTCTTCCTTGCTGCTGCTTCAAAGTTTTCCATTTGAAAATCAATAGAGTCATTATCTTCACTGTCACCACTGCTGTGAGCTGCACCTTGCTCAAGGGTTAATGCATGAGAATTGTGTTTTTTTCTTGAGGTTTTGCCAGAAGGATCCTATCCAGGCTCTGGCTTAGCTTTAACTTGATGATTTTCACTTGTGAAACCAAAACTATTTGTAAGAATCCACTGGTATGAATGAATCCAAATTCCTCTAAGAAAGGCAGGCATGTGTATGTGTGTGTGTGTATGTGTGTGTGTTTTGAATATGTGCCAAAAAGAATGTATTGTTATGATTTGTTGTTTGTTTCTAGTATTTGTTTTTAAAATGTTCCTATTTTAAGAGAAAATTTATTTTATAGGTTTTGCTTTCCCTTTGTCTCAATCTTCCCTTGGTTTTCATGGAAACTGGGAAATTTTCACTCAGCCCAGATCTCGAAATTCAGAAACTATCTTATCTACAATGTTAGATATATGTTGTCAGGAAGGGAAAAAATGTATACAGATATATATATATATATATATATATACACATACAATTCATTCAGCTGAACATATAAACTATCTTGGTTTTGAAGAGCTTTAGTTACAGAGATGAGATTGTCATGTAATTTACCTAATCTCTGGCTTTTAGATAACCATCCTAGATCATAAAATTCATGAGCTTATTTCTCTAGAATCAACTTAGTCTGTCTGATTTCCTATTATTATAAATTAAATTTCTATATTAAACTTGTTTATTATATATGCTTTCTAAGAAGGAGTTGGAGCATTTTGCGAAGAAGTCATATACAAACAGATTGGTAAAGTAGGAATTTAAAGAGAAAGCAAATTACGATAAAAAGAAAATAGGAACCATGTTCATTCCTAGGTGAGAGAAGAATTTTTATTAAGTGATACATTATTTAATGGACTATGTTCTCAGCAGTAGCCTCATAAAGTGTACATGTGTAGAGTTGATGTGTCAAGTTTTTTAAAAGAACTTTTCCAAAGTAGAAAGAATATCCCTGAAGCACTAATTCAATGAAGGCAATTCTATGAGAAGATTAAAATGATGTAGTCTGAGGACACATAATCTTTGCTGCGAACAGGGCAAAGAGGAAGGTGGGCACAGGCCTCATTTTCCTGGGTGCTGGTCTGTGGAGACACGGCAGAGTTCTCGTATTTGTAAATTCTGGTGCAGTGGTAGTGTGTAGGAAGGGAAAGGGTATGAACACATTAACTATTCCTTGTGCACTATTTGCCCTTGCTAAATCACTGCTAGTTATTAGAATGCCCAGTCAACATTCAGTGTTAATCCATCATGATGGTTATTCTAGGTTATCTAGTGATCCTTTACACATACATGAAAAGCTTTCTTCTCCACCTATTTGTCAGACTGGGTGCTAGCTGTTTACACTGTAGTTCAAGTGGCCTTTATTTGTGATTACAAAATTAGAGGTCCTGTCCTCAAGCCTCATACATCACCATTTGATATGTGTTGTTCTGCGATCTGCTATCGCTCAGTGACATACCATTGCTCAGTGTGCTAAATACAAGAATGTCATTGGATGGACCCTCCATTACCAACCTGATTTGTGTTTTGGTCCTTTTCTCTCAAAAAGTAGAGAATCTTAGCAATTTCTATTTCGTGATGCCACATCCTTGCTCAATGCTTGTGGCTGTATGTCATGGTTGTACTGGATGAAAAAATAAAACTTTAAAATAGTCAAAAGGGAGTAATGTTGATATCCAGTCAACTTGCAAGGATGTGTGCTCATGAAGACATAGATCACATGGATGACAGAAACCCACCATTAATTCTCAAATTCTATTTTAATAATTTCATAAGAAAAGCCATTTGAAAAAACATCAACATTATTTTTTAATAACTAGGAGCTGAATTAACTAATTTGGAGCTGACTTTCTTTATATTTTACCAAGGAGTTGATTAGAAAAAAATTGATTGAGTGTTAGAAATGCTAAAAGATTAGTTAATGACGTGAACGAGTACTCTGGATATGTTGGAACTAACTGTATATAGAGCAGCATGGAAATCGAAATATTTCCACTTAATATACATGAGTGTGGTTATATCCCCTGAAGGTTTAGACGATTAAATTATAATGTAGGTGCTGCTAATTCTTCAGTAATTGAGTAAAATTTGAACAGCTAGTCGTTAATCCCCCTATGCCTCGGTATCCTACAGTCTTTTGTGAAATAAGTATGTAGGCCCTTTTGTGCCGTGTCACGGCAGCTAAATTTACCATTCAGTAATTCTGATGTGGCTTCTTCTTAGGCTGCTCTAAATGTGTCTTTCCAGGGCTGGATTTTGATAGCTTTTGCTAAATGCAAATAGAGTTAAATGTTCTTTGTTCCTTTTTTTCCCCATTCAAATGTTTCTCTTCTAAATTTATTTTCAAATTTGTTACAGAAGAAAAGCAATGGGGCACCAAATGGATTTTATGCAGAAATTGACTGGGAAAGATATGTGAGTATCCAGAAGATTGTTTTTCTCTATTAAGGATTTCACAACTTAAAAACGAGTTGAAGCATTCTTATAATAGGACATAGAAATAAGCGAAACACTCTCCATCTTATTAGGAAATGCCTGGCACATTTATGATGGTATAGAGATGAAGAACAGTAGAGTCCGTCAGACCCAGGATCACTATTGGATTTGTAATCACATAGAACATGTAGAAAATATTCACAGCGAAGGTCATTTCTATTGCGCAGTAAGTGCTCAAAGTCACAAACCCTAGAAAATGCCTTTGCTCTTATTATTTAGGTGACTTTTCTGGTCCAAGTACCCCTTTCATAAAAATTAAGCTTGATATTAAAGCTTTTGCCTATTTGCAAACAATAAGAATTTTTATAATAAATGAGACTACCATTTATTGAATACTCACTATTTGTCATTCATAATATTAAATGCTTACCACCTTAAAAGGTAAATAATACATTATCTGCATTTTAGAGAAAACTGTGGCTTGGAAAGGCTAAATTCTTCATGCTTCCCACCCCAACACTCCAAACCACATCACCCTGTCAACTTACTACCTGGCCCTCTCTTGCATTCCTTACAAGTGAATATAACATATGTTATATTTCCCAGGGTTGAGATATTTTGTTATTTTCAGCAGTTCAATTGCCTAGAATATATGACAGCCCCTATGTTACCCTAAATCTAAATTGCTCACAAATAATGTTATAAGGGAAACTATTCAGACATTATAAAAGGGTGGTTTCTTTTCCCAACATTAATTCTTTTTTTACCTAGAAAGATCCTGTTATATTTTGTAGGATTCTATAATACTCGAGAATGGGATAGTCTCAGCAAACAGGAAATATACTAATTAAAATACCAAATTACTCATCAGATTCTGTACACTGCCTCTTACCTAGCACACAAACTCTGAATTCTAGTACTGTGCCTAGTCAACATGCTTAAATGAAGCGTAACTTCCCTCAAATTTATTTAGTCCTCAAAACTAATCCTATCACACAGACATTGCTATGCTCACTATGCATTAGACACCAGTTTCTCCAAGTCACGAGAAGGTTCTATTCTTCGTAGATTCTACCATCCGGATTCTGGCAGGGAAGGCCTCAGGGAGGATGGGACCTTTAAGCAAAGGCCTAATGTTTACACATTACGTAGTAAAGTAACTAGTGACTAAAGGGGTCACTAGTAACCTCTAGTATGGACAGGTTAACTGCCTGAACATTTGGGGGAAGGGCATGGCAGGCAGGGGAACAGCACGGATGAGAACCCTGAAATGAGACAGTGCCTGTGGCACCCAAATCACAAAAGTTCACAGTGTGAAGGCGAGCGTGAGGCCGAGGGGACCCCGGGAAGAGAGTCACAGATGTGAGGCTAGAGAGAGGGGCAGGAGCTTTGGTGACTATACAGAGGTGGTTGGCTTTTATACTAAGTGCAGGAGAAAGCCAGGGACAGGATTTTAGTAGGGAAGTGACCTCAATACCCTTGTATTTAAAAAAAAAAAGAAAGAAAGAAAAGTAACTCTGTAGTACTGAAGAAGAACAAAAGAAAGACTATAATAAATGCTCAAAAAATGATGGTTTTCCAGAAAGGAGAATACTGCCTGAGCTCTCTTATATGCAGAATGTAAAAAATAAATAAATAAAAGTGGAATAAAGAGAAACAAAGTCAAACAATAGTTACCAGGGGCAGGGAGGGGAAGGAAATGGGAGAAGTAGGACAAAGGGTACAAATGTGCAGTGAGGAGGGGTGAATAAATCTAGATGGTGAATGTGCAGCATGTGGACTATACTTAATAATATTGTATTGTAGTCTGAAAACTGGCTAACAGAGTGAATTTTAGGTGCTTTTACCACATACACACACACACACACACACACACACACAGGCACACAAGGGTAACTATGGAAGGTGATAGAAATGTAAATTTGACTGTAGTAATCAGTAATAAGTTCCACTGTAGTAATCGTTTCACTACGTATATCTGTATCAAATCATCAGGTTTAAGTGATCCTGTGCAAGAGAATTAACTGCCCACAGACACTGACAGACCCTTGAAAATGTCCAATGACATAACAGTTTCATTTCACTCACTTCATTCCACTCATTTGACCATCTTGAATTGTCTGTCAGAGGTGTTTGGCTCTGACACAAAAATCTCAGGTGCCTTTTTGAGCCAAGCAGGTGACATAAATACATGCAGTCCACTGGCCATGAACTCAGGATTCCAGCTCAAGACCAGTGCAAGGAGAGCACAACCACTCAGCTGCAGCTGCCTTAAATATTACAAGTATTAAAAATGAATTTTTAAAAAATGATCACTCTCTCCATGGCCATGGTATTTTTCTTGCTTCAGTGACTCCCAAAACCCTCTCCAACTGTGTCCTCTCCCACTGCCAGGCCTAAAACCTTGACTTCAACAGGGCTACCTTTGAACTCTTCATCTTCCTACTTTCTAGGGCACAGGAGGTAGTCTCAAAATGCCTGGGTTTAAGGCCTACGTCCGGCATTTGCTGGCTGTGTTTCCTGCAAAATGACATCTGATTTCTCTTAGTTTCTCCTTAGTAAATGAGATAATTCTTTCCATATATGGCTGTTATGTGGGTCAGTGAGATAAAGTGTGGGTCACAATACTTAATGTATAATAGGAACTCAAATATGATCATACTAATCCCAGCAATACAAGCTGCCTTTTATCTTTCCTTCTTTTTTCCCAAAAAATTTTAGCTGTCCAGTGTTAGGATCAGTTCAGCTTCAAGTCCCAGCACTCTCCAGGATTTGAGGGTAGAAACGTTGGTGCCTTCTTGAATTCTCCCTCTCCTTTTTCTCCTATGACTGTATCTATTACCAAGAACCAACAATCAATCCTTTCAGATGTCCTCAATTGATCCCACCCCACCAACAATAACTCGATCCACGTTCTTAGCACACCTTGCCTAAATCGATGCTCGCATTCTGAATTAGTTTTTCCTTCTCCAGTTTCCTCTGTCCCCAGACTCTCCTGGAACATACCTCCAGAACACCTTAAGGTTCTGCTTTCAGTATGTCCCACCCTAACTGAGAAGCTGCAGCAGCTACAGGAAGTCCAAACTCTTCCCCTAGCCTATTGGCCACCCTTGGTCTTACTTCCCCATCTCCCACTGTGCTGCTCCCCTCCAGTCCCGTTGTCTTGCTGCCCCTCCCTTTCCCCATCTGAAACAAGTCCATTCCTGCCTTGGTGTCTCAGTGAGGGCTGCTCCAGCCACCTACCAGGGACTCCCACTCTGCTTTCTACTATTTGAACTGAAAGGTCCATGCAGACCTCCCTGATTCTTTTAAACAGTACTAATTTCCTTTTCTTTGAACTCCTATCTAACAATAGTGTTTTGTGGTTTTTGTTTTTAATTTTTGCCTCTGGAAATACATTTCAATTTCCCTGAGGACAGATAATTTGCATTTTGTAGCCCCCATGTTGCTTAGTACAATTCTTGGCTTACAGGAAATGCATATTACATTCTCTTTGAATGCTGTCTTTCATAGACAGTTAATTCCTTATTTATTTTCCCAGTTGGAGGACTCTCCAAGTATCCTTGAATAAACATCTAAACATATTGCTCAGCATTCGCTTCCAAAAATTAAAATCTTAGTCTCCTAAGAGACTTGTCTATATCCTTAAATAGAAGACTCTAAAAGGAAAATGTGTAATTTTTTGATCATTGTCAGCATAATAATTGCTTAATGCGCACTTGTATTTTATAGAACTCACCTGAGCTGGATGAAGAAGGCTACAGCATCAGACCTGAGGAACCCGGCTATATCCTTTCTTTATTTTTTTATTTTAATTTTTACATTCACTCTCAGAAAACAGTAAGATTAACTCAGGTTTTACAAAGGTGATGAAATAACCTCATTTTCCCAAATCCTGTTATTCCTAATATTAAAATAAACAGCATAGAGAACAGCCTGATCCCTAATGAGCAGGCATTTTGCCTTAATCTATTCATAGAAAAGAGAGAGGAGAAAGAGAAAAATGTGCTGAAAAACAGTTGTGCAAATTGTGGGTACCGGGCTGTCTGCTAAAACTTGATATGACGATGTCATTTATAGTGACTGGAAAATAGCTCTTACCATCCTCTCCCCGCAGTTCATCTCTGCACAAAGCATGTCACGCTCTGAAGCATTTAAAACTCATCATTAATTGTCCAGAAAGCAGCCTTCTTCTCTCTGTAGATAAGTAAGCTCATTGTGCTTGTTTGTGGGTGTACTGAGTGGGACACCATAAATGGCCAACTGCAGCAAAAACGTGGGTAGGACATAATCACCTCTGCTTCTTGAAATTCACCATCCTTGATCATGTTCTGAGGAACGGTGAATAAAATCCTAACCCTTTCATTTTTCATTTTTCTTTGTTTCACTTTGATTTTCTGCCATCTAAGGACACTTTTGCTGTCTCCATGTGCAATCACTTTTGTCTTATACTTATCATTGTCTCCCAGTAGAAGAAAGAGTTATGTATCTTTAACTGTGTTCTACCTACCAAAGGAAAGCACTTTTATTCTTCGAGTGAATCAGAAGAGGAAGAAGAATCACACAAGAAATTTAATATCAAGATTAAACCATTGCAATCTAAAGACATTCTTAAGAATGCTGCAACTGTCGATGAACTGAAGGCATCAATAGGCAACATTGCACTTTCCCCATCACCAGTGGTGAGTGGCTTTTTAATGTTAAGCTTTGGTTATGTTATGTTCTGTCGATCAGAAATGCCTTAAATTGAAAGCTGCATATGGTCACCATTTTATGAACTCTATAAAACTCAAAAAGCTCATTCTAGCTTGAGGAAGTTTTACTCATTTTATACGGCAGCCCTCATGCTTTTCAAAATGGTAAAAATGCATGGAACCACATTTTCTTTTGATTTATTTTCCTGCAAGCAGTTTAAAAAGAAAGAAAATAAATAAAAACATTATCCAGACATACTTCTGAAGCAGACTTAGCAATTAAAAACAACATGAAGTTCACAGATTTACTAACAGTGATTTTTTAAAAACATCTGAGTTTCTTTTTTTATGATGTAGCACATAAAAAATACATGAAAAGAAAACCAAGGAAATTGCTTTAAAAAATTTTTTTACATTGCTGTGCTCCAAAAAAGATTAATCAAAATCATAGTCTAAATAAGTATTAAAACTCATATTCTTCATTCTATTTTATTATCGAGTTGTCTTAAATACTCTCATCTTTAAGGCACCTCAATTACAGGTATTGCCCTATTATATTATTCAAATAGGTATTTTTCTACAATTTGTGCTTCCTTTTCCCAATTCCCATTTATTAAATTTCTTTAGTTGCTGAATTCTGAGTTCCGACATTTACAATGTTTTCTCGTGGTGTTTGATAAATGCCACTATTGTTTTCTAAAAATAGTTGTGAAGAGCAGATGAAGGCTCTCAAACTAGCAGCTGATATGTTCTTGGCATCTTCTTTAGAAAGATGTAATCTGCCTATACTATTCCCCTTGGACAAGATAGTTAATAATTGCCAAACCATTTTCAAGATGCTTTTAGAAATATCTCAAGTAACCTTTCTAAAGGAGTTGTAATCACCCATCCTTTGAGATTAAACTTTAACCTGCCTAAAATGAATAAAGTCTGTAATACCTTCTTTAGTGCTTACTGCTTATAATGGCTTTTATCACTATAGTTGGTCACAATTAAAATGATTTCTAAGAGTAACTAACCACAGCAAATGATATTTCAGGTAATTTTGAATGTTATACTCACCTGCTAGCCTAAGATGTTTTCCTGAAAAGGGAAGAATGAAATATATTACTTTTCTCTCCTGTCTGCTGTGGAAGGTACAAATCTTCAACTCACATATATATTGGCCTAAGAATTCTAATAACCTCATTTCTCAGTTGGCATCTTTCAAATCATTTTTCACTTACTGAATCACTTTTTAAACTAAAACTATTTAAATGCATGAAACCAGTTTATAGCCACTTCTGTGCAGTTTATTTTATTCACTTCTCTAAGTTTATTCTCTGTATAATAAACTTAGTGGACATTTGGAAGCTACCTGGGGTAAGTTAAAGAAGTCAAGTTCAGAGGATTAAATGAATTTATGTGAAAGCAAACTTCCTGGACCAGTCCCAGAAACATAGTAGATATTTGCTGAAAGTTAGTGAAGTCCAGGAAAGAAGAGATCCCCCTCTATCAGAAAGAAAACATGTGTGCCTAAGTCATCCGGTAGATATTTCTCCAACCAGATACTTTACCGAGGGTGCAGCAAGAAAGTGGTTATTTACTCTGAGCTCTTCTCAACATCTGTTTTTAAGGTAATATGTTAGGACATGATGTGATTAAGACTGATGAAAAAATCTCAGGGGAAGCAGAATGCAAATTTGGTGGAGATACCCAGAGAAAGCAACCTCAGGGTTCTGCTGATTCTGCAGCAGTACCACACACCAAGGGACACCCAGCTCTGCCTCTCACCCCCATGCTTCCAGTTTGTTACCCATATTGTGAGAACCTGTCTACGATTGCCAAATATTTGTAATTTTTGATGTTTAGTATAGGAGAGTAGGCTGTTACTACTACTTTAGAGAAAGGTAAGCATGTTTCTGGATGTACGTAAGTATAAAGTGACATTTGTTAACAGAAAACACATGACATATGTAGCACTTTATCTACAGAACCAGATAAGTAGACATAACCTTCTAAAATCCAGTCGGTGCCATGATAAAAATGGCAATGCTTAGAACAACTGTAGATATTTCCAGCCAAAGGAGCAGACATTTATATATCTACACTTTCTGCAGGTACTAACACCAAGTAATGATATATCAGAATATTTCATTTAGGCTGTGGTGGTTCTCATGCTACAAAAGCATCCATCATTACATTAATAGAAATAGAGGATATTTCAAATGATAAACTATTCATAACAATGGCTTACATTGGATTTCTGATTTCTTTTTTTTTTTTAAAGTTTTTAAGATAAAGTTGTGCTTCACTTATTCTTTTCACCCCTCTGTGAATAGGCATTCATGCATTATAACTGATTTGATTTCTTTTATCATGAGTTGGCTTCATTTTATGTGAGTAGTTCCCCTGTATAGATTAGGTAGTCAAATTAATAAATGAATGAAATGGAATAGAATCAATGAATCATGTATCTATGTGTATATTCAATATAAACCTATCTGAAAATTACTCCTCAAAACAAAGCTTCAGCAACATGGGAAATTGAGGTTTTAATTTCTGGCAAAAAATACTACTGTATAGTTAGACAAATAAACACAATTTCAGTCCAGATCTTGCCCTGTCCCTTGATTTTTGTATAGAAATAAAATATAATATGGACCAGGACAAGGCAGAGCATCAGAAAAGAAGAAGGGATAATGCACAAGTTAACTTACAGGAAAAAGGATGCTAATCCCTATTCTCATCATGTTGTAGTCTTCTGATAAGATACCATGCTTACGGGGAAAAGAACAAACATTACCCGAGTTTGAGTTGTTGATTTGGCATCTATATAAGTTAGAATATTGGTTGAACTATTTTAACAGAGACCAAAATAATAATGGCTTAACCAAAATAGATCGTTTATTTTTCTCCCATATAAAAGTGAAAGCTGATAGGCAGTCCAGAGGCAATAGAGCCCTACCTCAGGGGTCACTCAAAAACCCAGGAATTTTCTGCATTATTGCTCCACCTTTTTTAGGGAGTTGCTGCTGCCTTAGCACCAGCAAGCACCTCCATGTTTCAGCCTTGAGATGAAGGAAAGAAAAAATGAAAAACAAGTGGTTCACTTCAAGAGTCTAACCCAGAAGTTGCACACATCACTACTACTCAGATCTCATTGGTATAATTTAGTCACATGGACACATTAGCTGCAAGAGAGTCTGGGAAATGTAGTCTTTTGCTAGACAGACATGTAGCCAGCTAAAATTCAGGATTGTGTTACTAAAAGACAAAGGAAAAAGTGACTATCCGTGGACGTTGGCAGTTTCTGCCACTGTGTTTTGAATAATCTCAGATTATTTCAGGGAGTTCATTAGGAAATGGGATTTTTCCCCCATTTCTCTTAAAAATTATTCTCAGAACCTATTGATCCAGAAAGCTCCCTTCTAAAAATGTATAAATATCAATTTATAAATACTAGTGATGCTATGCTGCATGCTATCTAACAGCAGTATGAACAGAAACAAATTTCAGTGAATTATCGACTTGTTTGGTTGATACATACCCCTCCAACAATAACAGTGCTCCCTCCATCTCACAAAAGTTCATTGCTTTTTGATGCAGTCTATTTCATTAAAGTCTTCCTTTTATTAAACCAAATATGTAACTTTGGTTCTTGGTTGTAGTTGTGCTCTTTAGGGGATGAACAAAGGACAAGGGCCCTTCTTTTGCCAACGGATTTTCCAAGAAGCAGACTCACTCCAAGTTTAGTGTGCAAGATGTGCAAGCCTGAGTGACCTCAGGCTTAATATTTGTGGGGTGGGGCGGGAAGAGGAAGAATTTGAGCTCTGTACATCCAACAACAGCCTGAGCTGATCCCAGGGGAACTCTGGAGCTAGTATGAGCCTTCAGAGTCATCAGGAGTTTGGCTCAGATCAATAGCATTTACACTGCTATATTAACCAGTACCTCAATATGGGCCACACTAGGAAGGGGTATGACCTTGGGTGAGGTGGCTCCTGCAGCTGAAGCAGACCCTGAAATGTCGACAGCTGAAGGCTGTCTGTCAATAGTGCTCCCAGCACCTGGCACAAGAAACCTTCCTGAAGGGAAGGTTGCATGGCACATTTTGGTGTCCACCACAAATCCCCTGTACCTGACATAGGGCTTTATATATCACTGCCACTCAATAAATGCTGTGAGTGAGTGAGTGACTGAGTGAACAAACAGGTGAATGGGACTAGGCCAAGGACAGAGTGCTGGGGCATGTCACCACACTCCAGTTTTTCATCCATCCATGGATAACACACTTTAGCCTCCTTTGTTCACCACACTATGATTCACCTAATGGTGCCTTCATCCAGGACACAGATTTTCATTTTGTTCAAACTAGTGATGGAAACCTTATTAAACACAATGCTGAATTTGAGAGACCTGGAGTGTCTACAGCCTTGCCCAGACCTCCCAGACCAGAAACCCTATCAGAGACAGTGAGGGGTTTTGTTTGCCCTTTCTTTAGGTGGGCACCTAGGCTTACCACCTTCTTTTCCAAGTGCTTTCTGGCCATCTGTTTAAATATTCTGTTCTAGAAATTTAGGTTAATAGGAGGGAGCTGTATAGTGACAGAAAGCGCATAGCATGTGGATTCAGACAGGCCTTGGCCTGCGTCCCAGGCCTGGCTCCACCACTTTCTACCTGTGTAACCTCAGACAAACCCTCTCACTGTTCCAAACCTCTGTTTCCTCCTCTGTAAAATAAGGATAATAATAGTCCTTTCGAAATTTTTGTGCAAAAGGTCCATGTAACAGTACCTGATGCGTAATTAGTACGCTGCAATTGTCCATGTCTTCATCACTAGTATATATTTATTTTTAATTTGACCTTTTCTCCTCGTTTGAGAGTCATGCTCTGCTTTCCCATTTCCAGTCTTCTGACCTAAGAGCATACTGTGTTTTCATGTCCTGGATTTTAATGTGTCTGTATCTCAGGATTGAATTCAGTTAAAGGGGTCTGGGGTTCTCTTG